ATTGGACGCACCACATCCAGTGGTCGCTTACTTCAACGGAATGAATCTCGAAGAGTGGGTAGCACCAATACCCGGCCGACCGTGCTTGACAGGCTTATACGAGATGGAGAACTCTCCCAGATAGTGCCCAACCATCTCAGGCTTGACCTCAACCTGGTTGAACTCTTTGCCGCTGTAAACACCAACAACAGAGCCAATCATTTCAGGGACGATGATCATATCTCGGAGGTGTGTCTTAACAAGATCGGGCTTCTCGTTCGGCTTGGCTTCTTGTTTTGCTTTTCGGAGTTTTTTGATCAGGCCCATAGGGCGGCGCTTGAGGCCGCGGTTGAATCGGCGACGGGCACGAGCGTGGAGGATGTTGATAAGCTCGGAGGAGGGGATGTCGAGGAGTCTGTTGTGGAGGATTGGTTAGTCTGGTGTCTTGCGCATCTTTTGACGTTAGGTTTTGGAAACCAGGCTGCGCGCCTCGGTTTGACACATATTTGCGCTTCGCACAAGGGAAAGAGGTGCAACGTACTGGTCAAGATCGATTCCTCGGAAGGAGAATTTTCTGAAGGCTCTTCTCTTCTTGAGCTCGGCAGCCTCCTCGGCATTCTGTAAACTTTGTCAGTTAATGCGTAGTTATTGAGGTGTTTTGGATCGTACGTAGTCTGCGTCAGCCATGATTGTGGTACCTTCAGTGCAACTTGACGAGAGGAAAGTAGAATCTTGTGTGTAGATGAATGCAGGTGTGCGTCAATGCAAAGTGGAAAGTGCGGTTCCATTTCGCATGCTGCCAAGACAATAATTTCGTAAATTGCAAGTTAGCCGAAGTAGACTTCCGGTTTGTTTGATGGGGAATTTTTGAGTCGGTCGCAAGAATTATGATGCGGCGAGAACATCCACAGACTGTAGTCCTCATGCAATCGTGTAGCAAATCAGGTATGGAATGGTTAAGGATGAAAAAAATGGTTCAGAATTGCAGCTCAGTCTGGCCAGCAACCGCACCAATCAGATGATGGCCTCCTTCCAGATGTTTCCTCCTCAATCTTGTGCTGTCCATGGTGTCTACGACTCCTGAATGCACACCTATTTGGCCGTTCTCCCGTGAAGTCTCTGTCCCAGCATGCGATTTGCCACACGATCCCTATGCACTACCTGTACAACAGTAGAAAGGACGCAGCCATGCTCAGTATCTTGGCCCATGGTGCTTCCGTGAAAAGCCAGGACACTTACGCCAGCTTCGATTTTTGTCTTGTCGTCAGATACAGCCTCTCACCCCTAGTGTGCGCTGCCCAAACACAGACTAGTCAGTCGTCAGCCAAGCAGCATGAAGGATTGTTGTACCTACGTTGGAATGCAAGGCCAAGCTCCGCCGCAAACATTTCTATCACTGCTGCTGCTGCGACAATGACGACTTGGGTTTTGATAGGCTGCCACAGGCAAGGAAAGGGATGCAATAGTTCGAGGCGTTAGACGGCATTGCCCACGATTCACCAAGTGATGATGTGTGCCATGTCAAACAGGACTGATTGGGTATGCAGTTCATGGTGAGGGTGACGACCTGCCCGTTGTGCAGCGAGCCGGTCATTACTGTAGATCGTGGTGAAAACTACCAGCACGCCACACGTATTCTGTTACTGGCGACAGGCAAGACTTTTAGCAAGCTCTGAGGACGTCAGGAGGAGCTCTGCATGATCGACTTCTATGAAAGTGGTACGAACTCAGTCAACGCAACCAGGTTCTGTACGAAATATTGCCAAACGAAAGAAAATTGAGTGAATATGAAAATGGACAGTGTGCAGGGTCTTCTCGACTTCCTCAATACTAGAGGTGCCCGAGCAAGCGTTCTCTGTGTGCAGAACTGAAAAGTCCTCATCATGTTCATTTGTCCAACCTCTGAATAACTATCCTCATCCTCATAGCACTTTCCTGTAATACTAGACCTGCCAGCTCTTCATCCCCACCATCTCTGCCCTTTTTCCTGTTCCCCTTCGTTTCTGCCGCTGCGGCCTGTCGATTCTTGACACCCTGCTCAAGTGCCTCTATGAGTTCAGATGATTGCTTCAGATATCCCACACCTGCCTTCGCTAGCTGTCTAACAACGCTTTCGAGCAGCAAGCTCACCTTGGCCTGCGCTTCCACCGTGTTTCTGACCGCGGCGTACGGTAGGTAGTCGCTCGCCAGGCGGGCTTGCGTCATAGGTTCAAATGTGCTGCGTTTGTGCGACTCGCGGTCAATCATCCTTTGTAACATGAACTCGCACAACGTCACCCGCGCATGCGGACTGATAGATGCTTTCGTGCTGCCGGATAACGATGCTGATAGCACTGAAAGGACGAACTGCTGAAACACAGACAGCGGAAGTGGTCGGATAAACTCGACAAAGAGAGTGTATAAATCGTGTAGATCGGGAAATACTGGCTCGGTTTGCGAGTCGATTAGTGTTGTGTTCGCGGAGACGGTTGAGAGGAGTTGTAGGAGACGGAGGCGGATAGTGATTGATTCAGGTCCACCAAGAGAAGGTTGGGTCACAGGTGCTTCGGACATGGAGACGTCACTATCATCATTGTCTGTTGGTGTTGGTATGAGGGATCGTTTGCTTGTCTTTGGTGTCACTTTTCGTCTTGCTGATGGTGTCCGCGTTCGTATACGTTTTTTGGGGCGAATGTTGAGCGGATCGGAGAGATTACTGTTCACTGCTTCATTTTCCTCCTCTGTAGAGGATTCCCCCTCTTGCATCCAGTCGCCGTAGATTTCTCCGTCGATGTCGACTGCCACTTCTTGCTTCTTGAGTTTTTCTGTATTCGATTTTGGGCCTTTAAGCTCTTTGCGAAAGATTTCACGGAATTCATTGAGCGATGCAGTGCTTCCATCCGCGAAGATGGCGCGGAGAATCCGACGACCGCGAGCATTGCCACCTGTCGCTTGTTCTATATATTGCCAGAAGAGAGATTCGCTACAAGTATCCGTCTCCTCACGAAGGGACCAGTCGGTTTCGAGGACATCAAGAAGATAATTTAGGAAAGGTGCATAGTGTTCCCAGCGTGTTGCATGATAGCCCGGCAGGCAAGCGCTATTCAACGCCCACCCGATCAAAGCCCAGAAGTCTTCGGCTAGTGAGAAGAGAGAATCCGTATCCGCGTAAGAAATGTTTAGTTTATGATTGTTAACATTGGAATCGTCTTCACTCGTGACACCCCTACGAATGGACAATCTCTCCGTGTATCTGCGGAATTTGTAGGCTTCAGTAAGGCCTGCATTGACTGGACCAGTGACCTGGTTGATTATTCGAAGGAGTTTGAGAGCGTCGTTTGATTGAGTCCATTTATCTCTTGAGGTAGTTCTGGTTGTTAGACTTGGATGGACGCAGAGGGTAGCAATGACGGCAAGATAGTCCGGTGGCGGGATAGTCAACGACCTTGAATCCTTGAGTGAAGCGGTTGTCAAGGAGAGCAGGAAGTGAAGGGCTTGGCTGAAGAGGGATTCTTCAAGGTAGACTTGAACGTGTTGGAGAAGTTCATATGGTAAAGATCGGGCAGAGTGATAGTGGGAGCTTGGTTGCGAGGAGGCGGTCCTGAAAGTGGCTTCAGTGGAAGGTGCTGAGGAGAGCGGTGAGGATGAGAGAATTCTATCAGCCATGTGGAGATGAGGCTGTGGTTCTATTGTTGTTCTCAATGGTTGTGTCTCGTAGTGCGATTCTTCAACATGACGTTCTGGGAATGTACAGCATTTGTCATTGGTAGCAAAGCTTGATCGATAACCAGGTCTATCAACACGAATCTAGTCCATGATTTGGGTCGACAGTCGAATGATCTAGGGTGTTGCCGTCACGAGTTGGCAAGAACGAAACGTATCCACTTCTGTACGCCTTGAGCGGGCTAGTGGCTTCCTGCACTTTCATGCCCCTTTATGATATATATGCGAATTATGACTGGCATTAATCTCATTCGAGCAGTTGAGGACTTCGTAAACTATGTCGTACAACGTAATAGCACAAAAGCTTGTCACAAGGGAAAACCTGTTCAAGCCTGTTTACAATCATGACGAAGAGGTAGTGCACGTTCAAACTATGTTCTATGAAACATCGGCCTCCGTGGCAACACATATCTCGAACATCATGGTAGTTAATATCAGATAGCTTCTTTGCGAAAGTGTTCCCACCTTAGTTTCGAGGTCAACTTGTCAACCAACCACATTCCTGATATCTACTCGACTATGCATCGCTTCTCATGCGCTGAGAAACAACAATTATGATCTAGACGAGGACTTGCTGAGTGGTACGAGCAGCACATTGAACGACTAATGGCGTGGTTGCAGTCATTTTAATGAGCTGCATAGCAGCTATAAAGCTGCAAAAACAAAATCCCCATCAGGAAATCGGGTAACGGATTCAAGTTCCACATGAGAGCCTTAGAACGAAACCTGCTGAATCCTTCCTCAAGATGCCTATTTAGAAACCATAGGCACGTTGATGCTAGCTATTCTGTCAGGAGATTTGGTGCTGTTACGGGACGCTTGAAGGGTTCTAACCTTCATGATCGAATGCCGACTTACCTAGGCAAAGCCCCAAGGCCATGTTCCGTCCAGACTTTGTAAAGCATCGTTCTTGATTTTCTTAGATAATCGTTCTCATATGAAGCTAGCAGATGGTAGCGAGTGAGTCTGATGGAGACGTTGAGAGACGGATCCCAGATGAGTGAGATAGAAGCAACGGCAGTAAGAACCTCACAACTTGCAATAAATGCATCATATAGAGACAACAACCCCTCTGGTCACAATGCTCTCTCTTTGTTCTCATTCAAGGCCTCGATAATGACCCTGGTAATGTCCTTGCATTGGTATTTCCATTGAACCAGGCCGAGCTCATTGCCCGGCATTGGCCGGCACATCCATCTAGCAAAACCCCGCACATCTCCGCAGAGAGCAAAACTTTTCACCTGAGGTTGGAGGTCATATATTTTTGAGTCATAATATCGTGATCAGATTGGTCGCATCTGTCGTCCAAATCTCAACCTGGTGGTATGGTGTAGAGGTAGCACGTAACGTTGTGGTTCACAGCCTCAACGTCCTCCAATCATACTGATAGAGGGCGGTGATTCAATCCCGTTCCGACCCCGGTTCGAGTCCGGGTACCGGTTAGTACCATTATTCAAGACTTGTTGATCATAAACTGATTAAACTAGCCACAAGTCTGAATTCAGCAACTTCTTTTTGGTTTTGCACAACTCTAGAGACATGCGAAACCGAGATTTTTGCACTTTAACATAGCAACCACTCAAAGGCAAATGTGCAAGACGATAGCAGAACCATAATTTCTGCTTCCGTCATAAATCTGTTTGCAATTCCTGGTCAATTAATTCTGCAGCTTGAAGCATAGCATGAGGCAACAGACATATGCCTAGACCTAAATGGTGTTGTTTATCTTCATTTTACGAGCCAGCGTCTGTGGGATATTCGAGGATTATGCCATTGCAGAAGCCATAATACCCCGGCATGCTGACACACGCGCATGATGAATGAAAGACTTATGAACATTGGGAACAATTTCAAGAACTTCTAGCCCCAAGGCAGGGTGCTGAGTCGCTTTCTAGTTAACTTTGCATCATTTTGGGAAACAGTAGGGTGAGGCCTGTCAGAGAAAGTGCGCGCTGTAGCGGTCAGCAAATCGACCTTCCCCCAGGGAAGGATTGCGGTGATTTTGGTTCACTCGCGGCTTTCATTACCTGCCATGAACCAACTTCATGAACCATTACCTTGCGTTTTTAAGTCTGTAGACGCATGTGTCTTGGAGAAAGCCTTCCATTGCGCTATGCAAGAATTAGAATAGGGCATCCTAAACAATCAACCTTATTCCCGACTAATTCCAGCTAAGCAGTTTTTACTACGGCTCCTCGTCATGTCCTCGATTCAGACCACATTGATCCTCAGTCAAAGCAGACACATTTCGTAAACAACGTTTTCATAGCTGCGGTGACGATCTAGAAAATCTTTGGCTCTCCTGACTGGTCAGACTCCCCTGACTGCATCCTTGACTTCGCCCAATTGCAACAGCTATGCAGGCCCATCAGTCACGTCAACCGAGCGGGTGGTCGCCTATACCATTTAGAAGAGAGAACATCATGCCGCAATCAGTGGGTTGACGGAAGCGGCTAAGCAAACTCTAATTGGTCAACATGTGAGAAGAGATTTCTTGAATTTTCTTTTCTCAACGGAATCAAACAAATTTTCATCAAGCAACTTGAGCGGAAGATGAGCATCAGCAGCATCTCCAACACACCGATAACCCGAAAGTACTACAACCACCGAAGAAAGTGGATTTGATGCCATCACTAGACGAACCTGGGACAAATCCATACATTGTTGGTGATCAAACATTAGCTTGTGTTATCTCGGAAATATGCCTGTCATTGACACAAGCAAGGATCTGTCAACTCTTTTCAGACGACAGGCTCAGGCGACTCCTGAGGCAGTTGCCCTAGAGGATGAAACCATAACATACACATATGCAGAGTTAGACCGAAAGGTCGACAAGCTAGCCATTCGCATACGTAATCAAGGTGTTCGTCGCGATAGCCTTGTCGGCGTCCTCCTACCTCGAGGCGCTGACTATGTTATTGCTTGTCTAGCAGCTCTGCGTGCTGGAGGTGCTTTCCTCGTGCTAGAGCTTGCATATCCTCCTGAACTTCTGGCTGATGTCATTCAAGATGCCAATCCAGCCGTAGTGGTTACCTACAGAGCGGAGGTTGGTAAGATTAAAGAAGGAACGTCTCTCATCACGCTCGACGAAGGGAGGCAAGAGATAAACGGAACCACTAACGGGGACGCGGAGGAGTCACCGCTGCCTGCGGAGCTCGACCTTGATCGCCTTGCATTTGTTGCATATTCATCAGGCACAACCGGCAAACCGAAAGGTATAGCAAATCCTCACAGAGCGCCAGTCCTCTCATATGATCTCAGATTCGGCCTGTCAGACCTACAACCGGGAGACCGTGTAGCATGCAATGTCTTCTTCATCTGGGAAATTCTACGACCGCTTCTGCGAGGAGCCACCGTCGTGGCCGTTCCAGACGAGACGAGCTACGACCCTGTTGCGTTAGTGGATCTACTGTCTTCTAAGGGTATTACTGAGACTTTGATGACGCCCACATTACTGGCTGCAGTGCTTGCTCGTCATTCGGATCTTGGGACACGACTTCCGGATCTTCGTACATTGTGGTTAAACGGTGAGGTCGTCACTACCGACCTTGCGCGTCGGGCCCTCAAGGTGCTTCCGAATGTTCGATTGTTGAACTGCTACAGTGCCTGTGAGACACATGAGATTGCCTGCGGCGATATTGGTAGCATGCTTGAAGATGAGGCAACCTTCTGTCCCGTTGGTCCACCCATTGATCCCAAGCATGTCTACATCTTGGATGACGGCGGCCAAAAGGTAGAGGTTGGAAAGAGCGGAGAGCTTTTTGTGGGCGGATCACTGTTGGCTCGGGGATATCTCAACCGTCCCGAAACAACAGCGAGGGCCTTCATACCGGACCCGTTCGACTCAACGCCGGGTTCTCTTATGTACAGAACCGGAGATTTGGCCCGGATGCTTCCCTCAGGATTGCTTGAGATCACAGGACGAGTAGGAGCTATGATTAAACTCCGAGGCTACTCAGTTGTTCCTGGTAAAGTGGAAAATGCTATTGTTGCAAACTTGGCAGTCAAATATTGCGCAGTGATCGCTCACGGAGATGGCTTAGATCGACAACTGGTGGCATACATTGTTCGGGACAAGGATGAATCTGAGGATCGCCCACCCATTTCCATTGATGAACAGTGCCACAGTCCGGGAGCGCGGCGCCAACTTGGATCGTACTTAGCTCACTACATGATCCCCGCTTTGTGGGTTGAACTTGACCAGCTGCCTACTCATGAAGTCTCAGGCAAAGTCGACCTCAAAGGCTTGCCCCCACCATCATCAACAATGGGGACTGCCAAGACAAATGGAGAAAAGGTTGAAGAAGATCCAATCACGATCGAAGACATAGCTGAGATTTGGGCTGCATCACTCAAGACTTCACGCAGCAACATCACGCCTGAGCACAGCTTCTTCGATCTAGGTGGACATTCTCTTTCCCTCGCCGACCTCGCCACCAGGTTCTCAAGGGGCTTTGGGTTCCGTGTCCCTGTTGCACGTCTAGCGGACCCTGCGACCCTCAATGGGCATTTACAAACCGTTCGAGCAGTAAGAGATGGCGAGATTGCGTCCGTGCAAGCGGACCTGCCAGCAGTTTTGCGTGTCGACTCAGTTCTGGACAGAGACATCCAGCCCAGCAAAGCCAAAATATGCTCACTGAAAGAGGCCAATACAGTGCTACTGACTGGTGCAACTGGCTTCTTAGGCGCCTTTTTGCTGAATGACCTGCTCGAAAGCACATCAGCTCAGATCATTTGTCTTGTCCGATTTAACGACCCTTCAGTAGAGGACATTCCTGGAGGCATAGCAAGAATTCGTAAGAACCTGATCGATATGGGTTTGTGGCGCGATTCAATTATGGAGCGCGTTGAAATCCTGCCGGGAAATTTATCTCGGAAACGTTTCGGTCTTGCACCAGACACCTTCGATAGCCTCGCCAGACGTATTCAGGTCATTGTTCACTGCGCCGCAACTGTTAACCTAGTCTATCCGTATGCTGCTCTTCGAGCTGCCAATGTGGGTGGTACAAGAGAGATCCTTCGCCTTGCATGCCTCGGCGGTGCTACAGTACAGTACGTCTCTACTAACGGTGTTCTCCCACCGTCAGCATCGGGGCATGGTTGGCCAGAAGATGCAATGCTTTATGTTGATGCAGTTCCTGAGAAGATCCCTGACGGCTACGGCCAAACCAAATGGGTTGCCGAGCAACTTGTATATGAGGCGGGTCGGCGCGGTCTCCCTGTTCGCATCTTGCGGGCTGGAACAATCAGCGGCCATAGCGCTACGGGTGCTGCAAATGCATGGGATCTCCTCACTGCCCTCTTCGTTGAATCCATTATTATCGGTTATGCGCCCGACGTGGAGGGATGGCGTGCAGAGATGACACCGGTCGACTTCGTCTCGAAGGCCATTGTCCACCTCAGCAACCAAACACATGCAAAGCAATTAGTATTTCACCTAGGTGATCCAGATCCAATCGACACAAAAATCGTCTTTGACGTCCTTGCAGATCTTGGCTATCCAACCGAACGCATTCCCTGGGATGACTGGGTGGATCTCTGGACTGAGAAGCGTAGCTCCGCTAAGGGCGGCATGGGTGCATTCACCGTTGATGTTCTACGTTCCGGCATGCCGTCCGTTGACTTCCTCAAAGGTATAGTCGTGCTAAACAATGCTCAGACACGACCATATCGTGCAATCGTTGAGAGACCGAAGGTTGACAATATCCTGCTTGAGACCTATGCCCGTCACTGGTTTGCACGAGGATGGTTGCCACGCCCACCTTCCCGACACCTCGCTCTCGGCGGTTCTGCTCATCCACCTATCCGCAAGTCTATCCTCACCGACAAAGTCGCAGTCATCACAGGCGCATCTTCTGGTATTGGTGCTGCGGTTGCTACCGCCCTGGCTCGTGAAGGCTGTCACATCGCGCTGGCAGCACGCCGTTTGGACGCTCTCGAGTCTCTGAAGCGTCGCATCGTCATCAGGGAAGGCAAAGTCATAACGCACCAGACCGACGTTACGGACCGTGATCAGGTTGAGAGCCTGATGAAAGCAGCTGAGTCCGAGCTCGGCCCCATCGACATTGTCATCTCCTGTGCCGGTGTGATGTACTTCACCATGATGGCCAACGCACAAGCCGAAGAGTGGGACCGTACGGTCGACGTGAATTGTAAAGGTCTCCTTCATTGTCTGTCTTCCACCGTACCCTCTATGCTCTCCCGAGGCACTGGCCACATCGTCGCGATCTCCTCCGATGCTGGTCGTAAGGTCTTCCCTGGTCTTGGTGTCTACTCCGCGAGCAAGTTCTTTGTGGAAGCGACACTACAGAGCCTTAGGTTGGAGACTGCTGGCAAGGGCCTACGTGTGACCAGCGTTCAGCCAGGGAACACCGCTACGGACCTTTTGGGCATGAGTACGGACCAGGAGGCGATTAAGAAGTATGGGGAGCCGACTGGGGCGAAGATTT